CCCAGAGTTTGGTATCATTGGTGAACTTGGCCAGTCTGCTTCTGACTCCAGTGTCCACATCATTAATGAAGATGTTGAACAATATAGTTCCAAGGACAGAGCCTTGGGGGACCCCACTGGCCACAGGGCACCATGACCATTGACTTCCATCAACCACCACCCTCTGGGTCCGACCATGAGAAAAAAAGAATAGTTCTTCCCTCTCGTGTGCAGCAAAACAAAACTGCATAGTTGTTATATATCACAGGTCACTTCTCTTGGGTATATCTTTTTCAGCTATTTTTAAAGGTGAAGATGGTTCCTGAGGGCACTACTACAATTTAAAATAACCCACCACCCATGCGCCAGGAAACTGATGTACTCACAGCACACTAACCTTTAATAAATCCCCCATCACTCTCCCATTTACAAACATCTAGGGAAGATGTGTTTTGAGGCATGCCTCTAAGAGTTGAGGACTACTGTGGATTATGGGGAAAATTAATTTCAAAACCAGAAAGCCATCCCAGAGACCATTTGGTCAACAAACCCTTCCCACTTATTCCGCAGGACCATAGATGGATCATCTCTGCTGATCTCAGCTGTGTCTATAACGGTCTGTTATTCTGGAGGTTCTGTATCACCCTGTTTGGGTCCAGTCTCCACTTCCAGTTTCCTTGTGACTCCGTATATTAGCATTACTTAGGAGAGCAAACCAGGAACCCCAACCAGACTCCAAATTAAGTGGCCTTTGGCGTAGCTGTGAGAGGTCAACAGCTTTATAATGAAAACAGCATGTCACATCCACTGCCAAAGCACCACCCAGAAATGTAATGCAGTGTGCAATAAGGACAATTTGTCATGCTGAACTGCTCATTTACACCTGGTGTTCAAGTCTCCATATCTAACCTGCATTTTCTACCGCTGGAAGGGAATTCAGTAAATAAACTGAAATCAGAGGATGGATCTGCTGGTGCAACCAAGAGCCTGCCTACATGGCACAGGTTTTACCCAAATCACCATTCCAATAACCCCCTCCAGCAGAGGCACAGTGTAGACCAGTAAAAGACTCTTTTTTTGTCCATGTTGGCAGAAGGAATTATTTTTGCTGGTAAAACCCACCAGGGTTCTACTGACATAGTTACAGTGGTTATATAAGGAAGAACATCCCAACATATGAGAACACTGGATGAATTCAGTTTTACTTTAGGTTCTTATTCTGTGACAGCATGCTTACCTGTGCCAGTGACAAGTGTTACAAAGTTTTCCACACCTTTTCCATGCCCAAATTTCCTCTCTGCCAGAGCAGCACAGTTGCCATCATTGTCCACCCAAACTGGCAGGTGCAGAGAATCAGATATCGGGGTCCTGAGATCCACTGAACTCCACTCCTGAATGAGTTTTGTGGAATGTAGCACAATACCTTCTCGGGGATTTACCCGTCCACCTGTAGAAATTCCTGAGCCCCCAAACATGCAGGAGACACAAAAGCGAGACTAAACTTATGCACTTCTTGAACTACCATGTTTTCCTTTTGGGAAAAAGATATCTTTACTTTTATCTCTAAATATTCTGGTTACAAACATTTCCAAATGTCACCTGCAATACACTATTTATGTCATGAAAAGGGAACTAACAGAGTTTTATTGCTCTTATTAAAATATATATACAGTGTTGCAACTAACTACGCTGGGAAGGGTGACATCAGAGAACTGAAAATTCAGCTGTTTACTTTAGATGATCTGGGGTCAGACATTTAATCCCCTTTCATGTTTCAGATAGAAAAACATGAATAACCTGTATAGCCTAAATAGTTGTTTTAAACCAGCAAGACTAGAATTTTTTGCCACTTTTTTTAAAGGTGAGAATGACTGAAAAAATTAGTGGGGCTTGGATAATAAGTTCAATTTAGAAAACTACTCTGGTACCTTGCATTGAAAACTGACAGTCAGTGGCAAGCAGTCTGCCTAATATAAAGTTTGGCTAAAAATGACTGCAATCTGGTGAAAATTCCTGAAGTAAATGGGTGCTGGGAGTGCAAAGTATCTCAAAGTCAGGTCACTTTGTTGTTATGGTACCTAGCTTCAGGCATACAAATTTGGGCATTTTAGCCAGCACTTATTTACAGAGAGCACAAGATAATGCGATGTGAGATGTATTACCACCTGTGAAAATCAGCCCAACAGCTTTCAAACAAGTTGTAAAAAAACATGTGATGAGTCAATTAAATTCAGCATCAAAATTATGATCCGAGGCCCAGATTAGCAGTCCCAAATAACAGTGCAAACATGGTCAGAAGAACAGAGCTAGGATTATTTAGTCAGGAGGAGAGAAGACTGAAGGGAGATTTGAAAAGTATTCAAATACCTGGAGGGTAGTAATAAAAAGGATGGTGATAGACTATTCTTTGGGGCTGCAGGGGACAGGATAAGGAGCAGTGGCCTTATATTGCAGCAAGGAATACTAGAATTTTTGCGCTACGAAGATGGTTTAAAAATTGGGACAGGCTACCCAGAGAGGCTGTGAAATCTCCATCCTTGGATTTTCCCAAGAGAGGTTAGGCATAGTTGAGTGGATGATTGGATTAGATGACATCCTGAGGTTCCTTTCAGCCCTCCTTTCCTATGATTCTGTGTGGGGTTACAAGAATCTCCTGGTCTGGGCACCACTCCTCCTCCTGCTCTCCTGCTGCTACCACTCGGATCTCTGGGATCCCTTTCCCTTTTCTAGCTTCTGCTTCCTGGGGGCAGGCTGGGGCACCCTATGGGGGCGGGGTGCCTGTGCAGGCAGGGGGAGCCCTGCTGCCCAGCAGAACATGATGGGGGGCCTGCACTGTCTGCTGTATGGCCTGTGGCTGTGTGCGCCCCCTAGCCACTCAGAAGTTGGACAGGCCTGCTCTAGAGGAATCCATGTTGGCATTTCCTGATCACCTTGTCTTCCACCAACAAGGTGTTGTTTTCCTGCCTAAAGCAGATTCCTTGATGACATTACATGATCTTCCCAAGTATCAAGATCATAACAAATAATCTGTAATTCCTCAGAGCCTTCTTCCTTTTCTTAAAGATGGGCACTATGGGTGCTTGTATACACCACAGGGGTTAAATTCAGTTTAGTTCTCCCTCAATTGAAACAGCGGGTTTTTAAACACCCATCGTTTCCACCGTTTCAATTAAGGGAGAATTAAACCGAACTAAACCTCCATGGCGTGTACACAAAGGTGGGGGCCTGATCCTTACCTGCCTCTCCAGTGGCTGAGGCAGGGGGGGGGGGGGAAAATGCTGCCCACGGGCCCGCGGGGGCCCCGGGCGC